CTGTTAGCCAGGCTCACTCTAGCGAACAAAGTAAAAGCTAAGCACCTGATCATCTACAGTGATTCCCAGCTCGTGGTCAACCAGGTCACCGGTGATTATGAAGCTCGCGACCCCACCATGGTTGCTTATCTAGCCAAGGTCAGGGAAGTTCTACGCAGCTTCCAGTCCTATTTCATCAGGCAGATTCCAAGGTCTGAGAACGTTGAGGCCGATGCTTTGTCCCGGTTAGCCAGCATAAACAACAATACCATGAAGACCGTGTATATAGAGAACCTACCTCGGCCCAGCATTCTCGGGGGGGGAGGCAGATGAGGTTGCTCCTGTTGCACAAGCAAAGCCGAGCTGGATTGACCCACTCACGAGCTACCTGTTTCACGGGATGACCCTCCCTGCAGATCGCAATGCGGCCAGAAGGGTAGAGCGCCAGGCCGCCAAGTACGTCATGATAGACGGACGGCTGTACTGGAGATCCTTCACGCTCCCCTACTTGCGCTGCTTGCGACCCTCAAAGGCCGAGCTCGTTCTTCACAACACTCATGAAGGCCTGTGTGGCGGACACTTGGGGGGCAGGGCTCTCGCCCAGAAAGCGCTGCGGCAGGGGTACTATTGGCCCACAATGAAGGCAGACGCACTCGAGCTTGTCAAGAAGTGCGATAAATGTCAAAGGCATGCCAAAATCCACCACCGACCTGCTACCGACCTCAAGTATCTCACCAGTCTGTGGCCCTTCGCACAGTGGGGAATCGAAGTGGGTGGAGGCGGAACCCCTAGCAACAATCACAGCCCGCAGTATACAAAATTTCTTTTGGAGGAATATAATATGCTGCTTCGGGCTGACTCGGGTGCTTATCTCCAACAACGGAAAGCAGTTCGAAGATATCAAGTTCCAAAGTTGGTGCGTTGAGATGGGGATACAGCAGAACTTCACTTCGGTGGCACACCCCCAGGCAAACGGGTAGGCAGAAGTCACGAACAGAGCCATACTCCGTGGACTAAAGGCTCGCTTAGCCCGAGCTAAGGGACTATGGGTAGACGAGATGCCCAGTGTATTATGGGCTTACCGAACCACCGTTAAGACCGCCACGGGTGAAACCCCCTTCAACCTCACCTATGGCACGAAAGCGGTGATCCTAGTCGAGATCGAGGTACCTACACTACACCTGGAGGCATACAACGAAGAAGCAAACGACGACGAGCTCCGTACCAACCTCGACCTGGTGGAAGAAGTACGAAACCTAGCATACATTCGGACTGCAGCCTACCAGCAAAGGGTGGCTCGGTACTATAACGCCCGGGTCAAGAAACGGCACTTCCATGTCGGTGACCTGGTCCTCAGGAAAGTCATGGTACCTAAGCCCGGTGTCAGCAAGCTCAGACCGAAGACGCGGCGGTTGTAGGGGCGGGCTCCAAAGATGCCTCCTCGGGCGCACGAGGCGGGGAGGCCTTCCCTAGTTCCTCCTCGATCAGATCAATTACCGGAGGTTGCACATTGGGGGGCTGTTCAGACTCAAGCACGGTAGCCTGCGGTGACTTGACGCGAACTCTTTTGGCAGCTCGCTACTTCTTCCCCTTCATCCGGCCAAGGAGTTTATCGGCAGCGAGCTTCATGGGAGCTGCAACAAAAGCATAACGTTAGCAACATTATCAGAAATAAAGTAAAAACACAAACAGAGACGACCTACCAGGACTCAGGCCAGCCTGCACAAGTTTGTCTTCAATCACGTAGTCTGCGAAGTTGAGTCCGAGCTCCACCCAAGATTGGAGCACTTCCCTTGTTTTCAGGTCCGGTCTAACACCTGGATCCTGAATGGCCTCCCTCTAATGGGTTGGGAAGGGCCATCCCTCAGTATTACGGACCACGAAGTAACCCCTCTTCCAGGTCGAGACCCTATTTAGGAGCTCGTGCAAAAGCTTGTAGCCCGGACGAGGAGATAGGTAATAGGTCCGCATATGCTCGGGAAGGACACAGGAGGCGTTCTTCTTGATGGACAGGACCGAAGAGAAGATATCGAGGTCAAGGGGCAGGTTATAGTCATGAAAAAGCGAGATGGTCCCTACTACGTTGCGGATTGAGTTCGGGTGTAGTTGGTCTATAGTAATGTTGAAAAGCTTCAAGACTTCTACAATCAAGGGGTGTAATGGAAGACGAAGACCAGCTACGAGCTGCTCCTCGAAGACCACGATCTCATTGTGATCATGCTCCCAGGGGAAGTTGCTTAGCGGAAGACTATAAATGAGGTCGTTCGAGAGATTGTACCGAGCTATTAAGGCCTGGAGACTGTCCGCTGTCATTGTTGATGGGCCGAAATTGTCTTGTACCCGACCTCGGTGCGAGGTGGATGCCGGATTGCCTGAGGCCTCTCATGCCTCCCGGAGTGGCTGCACCTCAGGAGGGCAACAAACCATTTCCAGACCCGAAGTAGCTTCGGTATGACTATCAACCTAGGCCGAGGCACCCACCTCGGCTTCATCTAGAAGACTATCAAAACTGAAACTAGACATGAAAAAGACAAACTGAATCGAAGACGAGAGCTAGGGAAGACTCACCAATGAGAAAGATCGAATCGAAAAAACACTGAACTGGAAGACCCGAGCTAAGGAGCTTGAACGCGACCTCAGACCAAAGGCTAATGAACTTATGGCGAAGAAAATGAGTCTCGGGTCCCCCTATTTATAGCCACTGTACCGAAGAATCAACGGTCGAGATCAAAGCGATCCGGCGTCTCCTAAGAAAACCGGTTGCGCGACCCCGAGGTTGAAATCGGTTTAGCGCATTTTTTGACGTCTGCAGAGTTTGTAGATCGCGTGACGTCCGCATGTAAACCAGACGCAACAAGGGTTATCCTTGGTTGAGTCAAGTAGCCGAATTAGTTCGACCAACGATTCATCCGACAAAGCGGCCTAGACCTCGAGCAAAATCCACTTGTCACATCATGAACTCCCCGCACCAAGTCAGGACCCCTAGCTCGGGGAGTGAGGGGCAATTGATGAAGGGTGATTTCGCCCGACCTCRTAACAGGAGGACACATGGACGCAGCCTGACTAATAGATGACAGCTCAGCATGACCAGCCCGCAGCAGAACAATCTCGGGTACGTATCTACCCCGGGCTAAAGTGACCTCGAGACAAGGTCACCTCGAAATGAGATCGCCTCGGTATCAGATCGCAACAAGAACACCTCAATGCCAAGGAACTTCGACACTCAGTCCAGTTCGGGACTTAAAGGCGTCAGCTCGGGGATACCGACGTGCCACTGTGAGGATCCCGAAAATCTCTTCGACGGTTCCCGAACTTCACGGGATCACGCCGCGTAACAGCCAGTGTTATCTCCCTCGACCGATTCGGGCGGACTCGATAAACCCTGTTAGTTGGCAGCACTATCTCCCAACTTACGCAGAAACGGATCTCATCGTGACGAGGATCCCGGAACCGCTCCGCGAAACCCACGAGGACTCCATTATATAAAGGCTCCACCCCCCGGGGTGCAAGGTATGCGTGATTTTCCTGCTCTCAAGCTCTCTACTTTCAAAAGCAATTTTAGCTCGCTACTAGCCTACTGACTTAAGCATCGGAGCGACCTCGCCGGGTTAGCATCCCCGGGTTCTCTGATATCCTTGCAGGTTCAATCCGCCGTCCGTCTGGAAGCCAGATCACCTCCAACAGGGAGAAACTAGATCGTGCTACATCACCATTAATCTTGAAAATAAGAGAATACAAGTAGAAGAAAAAAAAAGGGTTTATGCAGAAACCAAGCAAAGAATAGAAGGCCTTAGGTTACCGAGTAAACCAAACCCACCCTTTATCTTCTCAGTTGATTATAACATACAATATATATGCATCARGTCAAGAAACAAGCACAAGATCCATTGGACTGATTGCCATTTTAAAGAAATCCAACTACWAGCACCATTCTCTCCTAAAATTCTCACACTAGTAGTTACTTTTTGGCATCCAGAAAACTACMTATTACAGACTTAAGAATTCAAAGATACCAACTAAACAAGCTATAAACCTACCAACCCACTCATAACCTGCATGCTAGTACTAATATTAATCAAACTAAGAGKTCAAACTAGTACTATATATAAACTCCCTGCACTAGTATATTGCATACCTCAAATACAACTAATTCCAAGAATGAGCTCTATATATTCTTACAAGTGCCTGGAAGTAACAGTTCTCTCATTAGACTTAAGCCTAAAACCCTAATTAAGGGCTTTAATCTTCATGTTATCGAAAACAGGAACCTTATGCCTATGATTTCTGACCCCCACCTCCTGGTTGATTGTCAACAGTCACACTCACTGAAACTTTCTACCAGTAGTCATTACAAAAAATGAAATGGTTTTCTAATTATTTTTCTGTTCCACGATGATAATTTCTTTATCAGTATTCCCACGGCAACAATTCCTTTTCGCAACTTTACTATCCACTCGACAAAGGAGAGTGAATAATGCTGCAGCCAAATATAACCTAACGTCAAACAAATATCAAGTGCAACCCAAAATCTGGTAACTCCTACCAAGTACCATCACGCAGAACCAACTAATCTGATTTTTTTTTTTCAATCAAAGGGAAATAATTCATTAAACCAGATAAAGAGAGCTACAAAGTCTTCGTGACAAAGCAGAAACACAAAACAGAGTCACAAAACACAATTCAGCCGGAATTAATCAGATGAGATATTGCCAAATCAGAAAGCCACTCTGGGCAGTAAAAACAAAAAGACCCACTGTCCCAGAAATCGCACTGAGCCAGGGTGTGAGACACCCTATTTACTGACCTGTTTACAAAAAAGATACAGAACAACCCTCTGAGAAGTTGTTCAAAACTCCCTAACTTAACCTGTTACAGGATCCAAACTAAAACCAAATCATGGATAGTCAACACCTACTCTCGCATGATAACGATGAAATATAGCATAACAATAGAACAAATAATATAGACCGAAATGAAAGGAGCAAACAAAAGGAAATGACAGAGATAAAAGGAGAGCTTACGTATTTTTTATGGATAAGACTTCCTCCATCTGCTTCCCCTTTACCCATTCAGTAGCTGAAAGTAAGAATTTAACAGAAGATCACTATCATTCACATTAGCAGCACACTTTGCACAACAATCCATAAATCCTTAAATCCATGATATAATTAAAAGAAGAAAAAAAAATAAAGGCATACAAGTTTTTTAATTCACACCTGCAAGGTGCAATAGACGATGTTCAATATATCCGCAAGTCAAATTTGCTACCCGTGATGATTCCGGAACTCATTTTTTTAATTTTATTAACCAATAGAAAGAGTGATGATTCCGAAACTCATTTTTTATTTTGTTAACCAATTGAAGAATGACGGGAAAGTAAGAAATCAGAGAATAAATATAATCCAAGGAAAGGAGGAATAGAAAATCTAGAAAGGCAAGCAACCGAATTCCTAAACATTCCTGGGAAAAGCAGAGAGGAGTAAAAGCAAGAGTGCATTAAGAATACGGAGTACCAACCCACAGAAGAAGAGGCGATGGCGGAGCCGCATCCGAAGGTCTTAAAGCAAGCATCGACGATCTTGCCGGTTTCCTCATCGACCTTAATCTGGAGCTTCATGACATCACCGCAAGCGGGGGCACCGACAAGGCCGGTCCCGACGGTTGGGTCGTTCTTATCGAAGGATCCGACGTTACGAGGGTTATTGTAGTGATCAACGACTCTCTCATGGTAGAAACGAAGCAGAGACAGAGTCTGGGTCTGGTTCTTAAAATTAGCCAACCCTGCGAATCTCTTGCAACCAGCCCTCAGCATTTTCTCTATTACCACCTTACCACTACCAAGGAGGGTGGTGGTAATGACTGATGATGATGATTCTTTCAAAAAGGGGGAGAGGATGTGAAACGATAATTAGGAGGTGGCCCCGGATAAGGATGAAGATGAAGTCCGATTAAATAGTAGAGTGAGTGACAAATGTCCCAAATTAGAGGAATAGGAGGAGCCAAATTTACAATGATGAAATGACCGTTTGAGTCCGATCAAAAGTGTCATATTACGGCTTATATGGAATGTGCTCAGTGGGACCACCGTGGTGTAAATAACAACCATTGGTACTGGTAGTTCTCCCGCATAGAATCAGTACACCGCAGTAATTCTACGGAAAAGTACGGATAGGTCTATTTTAGATTTCTGAATGCAGACCTATAAACATTCAAAATATCAGAAAAAATGCCCCTAATTTATATCTGTCTAGGCATTGGCATCAATTTCGAACTGACATCTATCCCAATTGTAAGTAGTGCGTAATAATTTTAATCGTGGGTTAAATCGTTATTTTTTCGTCTATAATGGAAAATAATGTTGGGCCCCACTTCAGTTCCGGCTTATAAAGCCCATCTCATACATACTACAGGTCCTATTTTTCTGGTGGGTTTAATTTCATAATGAAATGGGCGGTGTTAGATCAAATTGGTAGAAGGTTGGAATGTCTTCTTTTGCATAAAATCTTGACTCGTGGAAAGGATAACAGTTTTATAGATTGGTATGGCTTCAAATTTGAGGAATTATCTCAGCATAATAATTAAAT